CATCCATCCATCCATCCATCCATCCATCCATCCATCCATCCATCCATCCATCCATCCATCCATCATCCATCCTTCCATCCATCCATCCATCCATCCATCCATCCATCCATCATCCATCCTCCATCCATCCATCCATCCATCCATCCATCCATCCTTGAAAGTAACAGGTGTTTTTCTAACAGCAGTAATAAAGTCATGCTTGTTTTATCATATTAACATGTAGACCTGCTGCTTTATCTGTGCTAATTGTGCTTTGGTTCTCTCTGTGTCCATAAAATGAACTTAATGGTTAAATTGTGGAGAATCTAAACTTTCCAATCATGTCTAACATGTTTATATTGGTGAACATTTTCATGCCTTCTGAGTTATTAACTGTAAACGCTTTAAAACGGTTCGCCGGCGACCCGGGGGGGGTTTGGAGAGGATAAAAATAAACAAAGCTGACTAACAGCTTCTCCATTATTAAACTGGTACTTTATTTTTTTTTTAGGTTTGTGGAAACAATATTGGACCAAAACCCAGATTTATCTTCAGAAAGCCTCAGAAAGGAAAGATTTATGGACAACAAGTAAACCTGGACATGAAATGATGTTTGGATTTTATAAAGTGTTTTTAAAATGTTTTTGTTGTTGGCATTCATGTAAATATACTGGTGTGATAACTTAGTTTAGGTTTGATTGGTTTTTGGTTTACGTCTGATTTGGATTTATAACCCCCCCTGGAGGAAACTCCACCAGCCGCCGCTGGAAGAAGAAGAGCTGACGGGGTTTGCACCTTTTCACGACTGCAAAACTGAGTATGCATAAAGTGATTCTCTGGTTTCCACTTTAACCTTCCAGCCAGGCTGTGAAGTTACCCCCACCGTCCTCCATGTTCTACCACTTTTCTCCGTGTTACCTGAGAAGCTGGAGAAGAGCCTAGAGAAAGGCGAGAACCTGTGACGGTGCAACCACTGCTGAGTGTCCTGCGGCGAGGACGATGGCAGAAGATGCTACATGTCAAAAAGAAGAAGAGTCCTTGAAATGAGTATTGCTGCACAGCATCCACTGTCTCCAAATATTGGCCTAAAGGAGATAAGAGAGCAAGAATAAGGCTTTAAGACTGCACCGCTCCAGTTACTTACATCCGAGCAGCCAGGCATGAACACCTCCGCTTGCTGGTGTGGAGAACAGTCGCTATAGAAACATAGTGATGACAGACTGCTTCTGTGTCATTCTCACATTAACCG